GGTCGTGTGCAACATAACTGCCTCTCCTCTGTGAGTTCCATGCTGGGAGATTTGAGTTTCACTCCCAACAAAATCCCCTGCCATCCTACTCTAGTTGCCTAAAACTCATTTATCAAGGGGAAGTAATCTACCACAGGACACTGAGTGACTGGGCTTTACCAGGTAGATGCTGAATATGAGTCAACAAACCAATTTTCCTATTGATGGAAGATCTAGGACTGAAACATTTAGATACTCAAAGATTCAAACAGGTGTGATTTTATGACATGATCTTTGGTTTCACAAATCATTTTCCCAGTGGATAGTTGTACTATCAATTCTATCCTGAGTCATCTGCCATAGTAAATGTGCTGTTCTAGAAAGTGTGCATGTATATGTGAGACCATAAGACCTGTGATTTTGTCACAATCAACATGACTGGCATAAACTATTTAAATTCCTTGAATCTCATTCTCAACTTTCCAAATTAAGGAGAGAATAATAATAAACACAAAGTCCAAGTCTTTTGTTAAAGGGATACAAACTTGGAGATGCTGTATGAACTTCAATATGTTACTCAGTGTTCAGAACTGCTGTGTTTATAGAAAAATGTAACTTAGCATGGATTTAATCCTAAGAAAAGTTGGATTCATAAAAGCTTTACTATAATAAGTTTAGGAAGTAAGTCTATAATAAATCTTAACAGAAATCTATTTTCATGCCTCTTTCATTTTGAGACTTTAAGATGAAAAATCGTATGTTATATTTGATTAAAGAATGAACAGAATAAACAATAATCTCTGTGAACAATCTTCTGCAAATCTGTTATACAATTAAGCTCCTGTGCCACTGTGGAACTTGTTCAGTAGATATAATCACACTGTTGGTCCAGAGAATTCCCATGCTCAATATTGGGATAATCATGTTTGCTTGGCTCTCCAATTGCCACTTTATAAGGCCTACACTATTGGTCATTTAATATTTGTCTCTCATTGTCTACTGACTCTGAATCATTATTTTTAGTTATAGACCTTTATAATACCCAATGGCATTTACAGCTGATGACAGATATAACAGATGATGCTGAGCCAAAGCTACTAGAAGTGAAACACAGAAAATAAAATGATAATAAATAAGTGTCCCTCAATGCCTAAGTAGTGTCTGAAATTGGTTCTAGTACATGTCCAATATAACAGAGCATGCATAATATAAGAAGAAAAAAAAATGTTGAGTCCTTCACCATGCAAGGGACAAGAAGGAATCTAGACATTTGTCTTTGCAGAGACTATGAAATCAACACAGAGCATGGTGTAAGTGTTCAAATGATTCTCAGAAAATCCATGATGAATTTTATGATAGTTTCCCCAAGTGCTGGTGTTCATGAAATGCATTTTAAAAAGCAGTCTAATGGACACAAAAACACACAAAAATTCTGAGTGTAATGCAAAGATATGATCCTAAGATGGACTTAATAGGCCATCCTAGTAGGGACATGGAAGACAGCAATGAATGCTAAGGGTGATTTGGATTTGGATAACCCAGTTCAAGAGATTTCAGAGGAACAAATAATTAGAGATTAGTTTTGTGATATTTTGGCCAAAAAAACCCAACATAGCTGTTTATGGCCTTTGTACTAAAATTTTACCAGAGGCTGAATTGAAGAATTTTAGATTAATGTCCTTGGCAGATGAGATTTCAAGACAGCCTAGTGTTGACTGTGTCATGAGGTTATGGGTATTCCATCTTGTGCAGAGCTACAAAGAAAAAGAACAAGTGAGACAAAGAGAAATACAAAATATACAGTTTGAGGAGAAAAGGAGCACCAGGAAATGTAATGCTGGAGCCCAGGCTTGCACTCAAAGAGATGAATAGTTTAAAGAAAAGCCTGATGCTAAATGGACTAAAAGGAGTATTAACATCAGGGTAAGACCCCACACAGCTAATCCTGTAATCTGTGAAAGGAAAAGGTCTGAGGTGTTTCTAGGCCTAAACAACAACCAGAAGATGATGTAAATGCATATCAAGGAGGGGGCAAAACCACAACTGGAAACTGATGCAAATGAAGGTCAAGGAGGGGCTCAGGTCCCAGCCCCAGCAAGCAGAACTTGGCAGCCTCCACCACATGGTTCTGGATCTAGAGACAGACAGCAGGAAAGGGGTTGTGGAATCTTTCTCCTTGCTTAAGGAAAGATAATGACTGAGGTCAGATGCATGACAGGGGAGTCTCTACATAAAGGCCCAGAGAAGCTATTGTTTGAAGCTATAAAGGTGAAGCCTGGATTGCATTGGAGAACCCAAGATGTTAGAGATGCCAGAGCCATGGGACACCTGCCAAGGAGAGCTGATAACAGGGTATAGAACCAGTCCAAGAACAAAAAGGTGTGTTGCACTCAGCAAAGCTAGAAGGAGTGGGAGATTTGAAGAATTCTTTGACATTAGACTAGGAGATGCAGAATTTGGAGTTTGCCCTGCTGTTTTTTGGTCTTGCTTTGGTCCAGTGATCTTCACTATGCCCCTTTTAGCTCTTTTAGAATACCAATGTATATTCTGTGCCATTGTATGTTGGAAGTGTGTGATTTGCTTTTTGTTATTACTTTTCAGGGGTTTACAGTTGAATGATAGCCTTTAGTCACAGAAGAGACTTTGGATTTTGAACTTTTAAACAGTGTTGAGACTGAAAGATTATGGGGACTTTTGAAGTTTGACTAAATGCAGTTTGAGTTATGATATGTCTATAAACCTGTGGAGGCCAGGGAGTAGAAAGTGGTTGGAATGAGAATGGCTCCCCTAGGCTCATAAATTTGAATGCTTGGTCACCAAAGAGTAGAACTGTTTGAGAAGAATTAGAATGGTTAATAGGTGTGATCTTATTGGAGGAAGTATGTCACTGGTGTTAGGCTTTGATGCTTCAAAAGTTCATGCCGGGCTCAGTCTCTCACTCTCTTCCTCTTAGCTGTAGATCAGGAAGTAAAGCTCTCAACTACTGCTCCAGCACCATGCCTGTCTTCTTCCTGCCAGAATGGCCAAAGACTAACCCTCTGAAACTGTGATCAAGCCTGCAATTAAATGCTTTCCTCTATAAAAGTTCCCTCAGTCATAATTTCTCTTCACAGCAATCAAACAATAACTAAGACAGTTATGTAAGTTTGAGCCTCCTTAATTTTAGTTAAGCTGAGATGCTAATATCAAAATATTACAAAGTCAATATGAGATTTAAGTAAAGTGAATGCAAAATTACTGTTTCTTGTACCCGAACACCCACCAAAGCAGAACATAGCAATAGAAGGTAGTTGATTGGGGGACTAGATTATGGCAACTGTCCAGCAGCTGAAAGAGAATAAGTCAGGAAAGAAATAAGAGCTGATAGACCCAAAGAAATATTACCAAGCTATGCATTGCTACAGACTTTTAAGGTCAGTTCCAAAGGGGAGCCGTTGGACTATACTTAAGAATTTCCAATGTGTTAGTGAAGAGTGAATTGGAAGAATGCTAATACCCAACACAAAGGGTTAGAGGTAGAGATATATGATTCACAACAATTAAGCATTTTCCAAAGGAATTCCACATCATAATTCTAGGTAAGGCTCAGGGAAAGACAGGAAGAACATCTGAGTCATTTGGAATATACAAAGTGGAAAGCTAAAGCAACAGAGGTATTAGGTGAAATATAATCCAGTAGATCTGATGGTCAGTGCTCTTTCTTGTTACTGTTTGCGGTGAGGTTATCACAGATTCATTGAAGAGAAACTAAATTGTTATGGAACTATATGCAGATGGAAGAAAATCTACAATCCAGGAAAATTTCTAGATGATCTTAAAATTATAAGCAGTGCTAACATTCCTATGAAAGACCTATGAGAGGTCCAGGAAGAAGATCAACAGGGTCATCTACCTGGTTGGTAACCAGGACACAATGAAATAAGGTAAGATTTACCTTTTCATTATACAGCTTTAAGGCTTATAAAACACTCTACTATGTGTCATCGTATTTATAGTTACTAAGGAAACATGAAAATATCTGATCTAATCCTCGTTTTCTACAAGAAGAAATACGAAGTGTCTTCATGTTAAGGGTCTAAACCAATAATTCATTGTCTATTTGTATAAAGCCTGAATGTAAAAACAGTCATGTTTATCCAAATGCAAAATATTCCCTTTGTGTTAAATGAAATTGCTTATAGCAGTGGCTTGTCAGCCTTGAGACTTACCTTGATTTCAGTCACACAAATATACTCCTCCAGCTACTAGAGCAGAGTTTATCTTTAGCAAAATATACATTTCTTCTTCTATTGCTACTTTTATGACTCCACCCCCTAACAATGATAGCAGCTATATGTGAAGAAAATAATACCTAGATACTATGTGTTCTAGACAGTTCCTAGCATGAATTAACTTTAAGAGAATTGACAACCCAAGTAGCAGCAGAAATCTGAATCTCAAGATGGAGTCTCTACCCTGTATATTACCAACTACTTTCTGACTATATAAGAATGGTATCTATTTTCAGAACAATTTATACTCAGAAGAAAGAGAAACATGGACTATTCTTACTACAAAAATTAGAGAAAAATAACTGTGTGTGTGTGTGTGTGTGTGTGTGTGTGTGTGTGTGTGTGTGTGTGTGTAGGGAGACACAAAAGAAAGCACCAAAGACAAGAAGAAAAGTCCCTATTACTGATTCAGTAGGAGATTTTGTTTCCTATTATTTCAGAGTATATTTACAAAATCCTGGATCCTATTCTCTACACTAAACAAACATGCATACATTTTCACTTTCATGTTCATAAGATTTTTATACGATCAAAAGCAGTTTGGAATGATCCCTTACCAGACATTAGAGCCCTCACTCTGATTTCTCAAAACAGAAAATATTTTCTTAGCTTGCTATACCCATAGTCTGAGGCCTTCCTTTCTGTGCTTCAGAAAGTCAGATCCAGATCCAAATGTCTCATGTATGAGAGACTTCCTGGATTAACAGGGACTACTCCCAGCCCACAGATGTTCTTCTGTGGATGACTTACTCGGTCAGTTTTCCCTTCTGTCTGAATGCTGGCGTGGCTCCGGACCTCATGATCTTCTTCAAGGTCAGAAACATCCTCCAGTTCCTCTGGAGTCTGTGAAAAGAAAGCAAAGCAAAGTTGATGAGCCTGTAAAATGTTGCCATCACTTTGAAGAGTCTGTGGGACCTCAGAAAGGTGACTGTTGAAGTGACATCTGATCGTGGAATCCAACCACAGCTAGGCATACAAGAGAGGCAGTAATTCAAATTAAAACTTCAACATTTTCATACCAGCATTATAATAGATAAAAAGTGGAAACAACTCTACTGAAGAATGTGTATACAAATATTGTCCATCCACACAGTAGAAGATACTTTGTTCGTAAGGACAAGCCAAATAGCTATTCATCTTACACAGTAGATGAGCCTTGATTATATCATGCTATATGAAAGATGTCAATCATATAGTACATAGAACATGACACGAAATTATTGGAATATGCAAATCCACTGGAAACAAATTTGACTAGTACTTTATGGGAGAATGATGCAATGACTGTTGAATGGGTACATACTTTCTCTTTGGGATGCTGGCAATTCTGGAATTAGAGAATGATGATCGCTATAGACTACATGAACTCACTTAAAACGTTGAGTTTTTGCTTTGAAAATGAAGAGCTTTATTGTATATAAATTATATTCCAATAAATGTGGAATAGGAGAAACATTAGAGATCAGATGGAAGATTGGCAGTCAGTGCAAAGCAATTTGACCAACAACTGTATGGTTATGCTAAACCAAGTAGCTTAGAGTTAATAAATTTTTAAGTCAGACAAGTTTCATTAGGTCAATAAACCACTAGTTTCCGCCACAACAGTCAAGAAACAGCATTTTCTAGGAGCTTACATGAAAAGTAACATAACTTGAATGTCTACATGTATTATCAATAGTTAGTCAATGTCCATTCTCGTTTTTCAGTATCAATTGAGGCAGCTCTTACTCAGGAAATCTCAGATAGAGTTGGATAACTGAGATGGTTTTCCTCATCTTCTTGATTTGCCCTTGTCACAGCTCATCATACTTTAGCTCTTTATTTTTTTTTTAAAATTGGGAAGCTAAGTATTGCATGGTCTACCCTGTGAGGTAAGGATCAAGTGAGTGCACTTATCAAAATAATAATTTAAAGCTAACCACTGTCTTTACTGCAAATACATGTAGAAATACATACAAATAATTAATATTTCTTTCATTTTACACAGTCACAGCTTTAGAATATGATGTGTTTAACACAAAGCCCTAATGTCCAATCTAGGAAAAAAATAGTTTTTTAACAAAATCATTCAAAATGAAGTGAAAGACAGTCTGTGTCTCTTCTATAAACATGGTTTCTGAAGACTTGCCTCCTTAAACCACTTCTGATTTTCCTTAAACTTTGTTTGTTATACAGTAATTTGGACGTTTTCATGATTGCCCGGGGTCTTCCTTCCTTTGGTACCAATCTAAAGATGAGACAGGTGATTATTAGTTGGTATAGTGGAATAAATTATCAATTTCTCATTCACTATTGGCTCCAGATAATTTATCATCTCATGCGTCTTTAAGCAGCATGGTCTTTGTTCTCCAACACTTGTAATGAACAGTGTTCCCTCCCCCCCCATTGCTTCACTGCAGAATCCTTTATATTTATCTCATCTGACTGCTGGCAGATATTAATATTCTTCCCTCACCGAGGCCTCCAGTGTGCTCAGCTTTTGTTATCTATCCACAGATCTTTTGCAGCTATGAGTAACAATGATCATGGAGCAATTGATTCTCTCTTCCCAGGTATTAATAGCCTGAGTTGAACACCATGCAACTTCTACAAAAACCACACATTTTACTCTTAGCCATTTCGTGTAGTCTCACAGGAGTTTTGAGAAAATACATTTCCTACCTCCCTCCTTGATATATCCAGCAAGTCTCCTGATATATGAATATATTTTGTTGATCCAATCCCCTTTCTTGTATACGTTGCTTTTAATTGAAGACTGTCTGATGCCTCCACTGTGATCAGTTTCTTAGGCCTTTTGTTTATTACCTGGGTTCCTTCATCCTTTAGTGTTACATAGCCCCATCATCCACTCCCATCAAGTCCCAAATAAAGCAAACTAACTAAAAAAACTATGCTTTCAGAAATCTCGAGGACCATTTTTGCTGCTGGAAGAGATAAGTCTACCAATTACACTCACATACTTCTGTGCTTTCGTTTTCCTCTAACATGGAACTAGTATTTTTCTTGCAAAGCCACCAAAATTGACCTCTTCTCTACACGAACAAAATCTGTGGGAGAGTGTTCAAAACACTTGCTGACACACATGTCACATTCCGGAAGGCAAGAGGTTAGAAGGCATTGCAAAATAAAAAGTTAAGTTTATAGTGAAACAATTTAAAATAAGCAGAAGCCAAGAAAGAAGAATTCTTTAACTGTTTTCAGGGATACACCTGTTAACATTTTCAGCTATGAAGGCAAATTGTGGAAAGATTAAAATGCATTTTTTAAAATGGGTAGATTGGGCTGATGGGATACAATATATAATAACCTCTCAAAAATAGAGTTCTTCTCAACTAGTGACTTTAGAAATCTGAAATTTCGGAGGCTGGTGGTATATGAGAACAGGCTTAGCATGTGCTCTGGTTTCATTTCTATTGCTGTGATAAAACACCCTGATAAGAAGCAACAGCAACAGAGAGGAAAAAAGCATTTGTGTGACTTGAAATTAAAAGTTACAATCCATCATTTTGTGCAAGTAAAGGCAAGAACTCACATAAATTACATGACTTCCTCAGTCCAAGGTAGACACATAGTAAATGCATCCTTGCCTGCTTGCTTTCAGCAAACTTTCTCCTCATTGATGCTCTTCAGGACCACCTTCCTAGGGAATAGTGTTACCCACAATGGGTGTTGTCTTCCTACATCAATTAACAATTAAAAATTTCCTCCACATACATGCCCATGGGCTGACCTGATATCAATAATTAAATAATCTCCATTAAGACTCTCTTCCAAAGTGATTCTAGTTTGTATTGGGTTGACAGTTAAAACTAACCAACACAATATGGGGAAAATGTATGTGTTTCCAATTATCAGTCTATGACAGGAGATTGAACTATCAAAATAATGATGATGTAGGGCACAACAACCCAGTAACTTTGAATAATGCAAATCTGAATTTGAATTCTGGCCATCCAATGAGGGATACTGTCCATTCTGTAAACCTTTTAAAAATTTGCTTTCCTCAGACCAGAATCTAGATCATATTACCTAAGCCCAAAAAGGGTATTGTGCAGCTCAATTGTACTAAGATTCTGTAAGGGATAAACCTGCAGACAGAGCTGTGGTATAATAAGATTGCTTTTCTGATGTTTTCTTCTTCCTGTGCTATCTAATTCAGATATATTTTTCCCAAAATTTTTATGTAAACTTTAATGCTTCCAATTTGATCCAAATTTATTTTCAGACTGTGACCTGGACAGCCCACTAAATACTTCTTACTTCAGAATCCTCAAATAGCATGCTCTGTGGACATGGTGGTTAGTGAACACCTGTGGTTATATTTGTATAATTACACCTACATATTATGACTGTGCTAAACAGGATTTAATATAATTCTGTATATAATGTTTTTCTTATGAAGCAAGTGAGGAGGATTTTTAATTGAAGTTTAATTTTCCTTAAGATTAAGATTATCTTTTAAAGTGGCTTTGGCAAGGATTTACCTTAGAATGTTCTCTAAGGGATGGTGGGGATGAATTACCTTCCTTAAGTGGACTGTATCTAAATCTGAACAAAACATAGGTGGCTCAATTGTCCAGAGAATTTTTAACAGTTCTAGGTGTTAATTAGTTGTTTCTTATATCAGAACTCAGGAAATTCATTTTATATTTACCTCTCAGAATTTGCTTATTAAAAGCTTTCATCAGAGAGCCCAAAAGTGACTTGAAGTAAGCTTAAGTTCCATACCCATGATACAGTAAACATACTACCTAATACCTCGGGGTATTCACAGAGACAAAATAAGATGATGTATTTAAATATTATTCATTAAATACGAAATTTTGAACTGTCGATATTGTTGATAATTTTAAATTGTCATTATTTTCCTTGAGTCTTAGTTATGTAAAAGAGGGAAAATAATCAGGTACGACACTTGAAAACATGCTGCTTGAGAATTTTATTTGAGGCAGCAAGGGGAAGCAGTAGAGTGGACACTAAAACTTCAGGAGCAGAATAAATTATGGATATATACATGGGTAGATGATATATAGATGGACAGATGGACAGATACATTTCTTTCTTGGGAAGTTCTGTGCTTTATCACTGTTTAACATGGTCTTGTTTATTCTTTTTGCATGTGCAGTGACGTGAATGAATGGTCTTATGACTGGAAACTCATCTTTCCAAACCTCACAAAGGCATAAATCTAAAGTTTCAAAAAGAAAATTGATGTTCACTAAAGAGTTACAAAACAACGATGTAAAGATGAAAAATTAAAGGAAGAGAAAGGAGAGGGAGGGAAGGGAGGGAGAAACTGACGAACTCTATACCTCTGACCCAAAAGTTGAAATTTAACTTTTCTTAATGTTCAACAAACCAGTGACCTTCCTGACACAGTTCCCTAATTCTACTCCCCCAACCGCTCTTTTATTCTGACCCATTACAAGGGGTGATGATAATTATTCAGTTCTATACAAGGATTTTTGAGGATCCTGGTAACGATGTAAACATGTGGGGTAAATCACAGCCTCAATCTCTGGATCAGGAAACTAGTGGGTAGTCATTCCTCTGCTCAGAATATATCAACAAAACACAGCAAGTGCAGAAGTCGCACATCAATTCAGCAGTAGGGTCATAAATGAAAGTGACATCATCAATATTACCATCCCTATTCAGCCACCAAATGAGCCTGTCACGTAACTCAGATCCTAAGAGGAGCATTCCTAATTCATGAAAACTGTCACAAGATGAGTCCAGCTGGAAGTTTAAATAAAGACATAAAAGACAAATGAAGCCATGAAAGATAATAAGGTTTGGGTGAAAGCATATTTTTAGAAAGTTCAAATAGTAGAAATTTCTAG